TTATTGCCTGCTGTTGGAAAACGTGAATGTCAGGGTAGGAGATAGCTGGATATAGGGTCTCCCTGACACTAGTGGTCAAGTGCCCTTTATAAATGTCAGTGCTGCATAGTCATTGACAGACTTGGGAGCCAGACCTGCCTGAGTTCAAACCCCATCTCCACCACTTATTAACCATGTGACTTTAGGCAAGTTACTTAACCATTATGTGCCTGGGTTTTCTCATCTGTAAAATATAAGCAATAATTGTACCTACATCATAAGATTGTTGTGAAAGTTAAATGAAACACTCCTGGCACATGGTATGAGCTCAGTTCATTCATTCATTCATTCATCCATTCATTCATCCAGCCAGCCATTCAACAAATATCTGTTCAGTGCCTACCGTATGCCAAATGCCATGGTTGGTGCTTAGGGTATATTGGTGAACAAATCAAAGATTCCTGCCCATTTGGAGCTTATGGTGTAGTGCAGCCTGGGGACAGAAGGTGCAGGGAGAACAGAAGATAACATAATAGGGTATGTTTGAAAACAAATGCTACGTAAAAAAAATTAGATCAGGGTAAGGAGTAGTGGGAGTGCTGGAGAGGTTGGAAGTTGGCAGCATTAAATGGAAGGGTTAGGGTAGGCCTCACCGAGAAGGTAGGATTGGAACAAAGACCTGAGGGAGGTAAGGATGTAAAATATGTGGATATCTTAGGGAAGAGCATTCAAGGCAAAGAGAATAGGTTGAGTGAAGCCCCTAATGGTGGGAGGGTGCCTGGGAATTCTCAGAATGACAAGACAAGGCAGCCGGTGCTGCTGGAGTGGAACCAGCAAGGGTGAAAAGAGTAAGGGAGGAGATCAGAGAGGTATTGTGGGGGTGCAGGTGGAGGTAGAGGGTTTCTCAATGCATATCCTGTATGGCCCTATAGCCTATTATAAGGAATTTGGCTTTTACTGTAAGTTAAATTGAGAGCCTTTGTAGGCTGAGCAGAGTGGTAACATGATCTGACTTAATACTTTTGTAATGGTCTCTTTGGATACTGTGCTGAGAATAGACAGTGGGAGGGTGTTGTGGGTTGAACTGTGTCACCAAAAAAAGATGTGTTCAAGTTCCTGTTGCATTAGTCCATTTCTGTTGCTTATAACAGAATACCTGAAACTGAGTACTTTGTAAACAAAACAATATATATTGCTTATAGTTTCAGAGGCTGGGAAGTCCAAGGTCACATCTGGTGAGGGCTTTCTTGATGATGGCTCTCCACAGCAACGCAGGGCATAGCACGGTGAATAGCTTGAGCAAGAGGGAAAACCTCCTCCCTTGCTTTTCTTCTAAAGACATCAGAACCACACCCATTTCCACCCATTAAACCATCAACCCATTACTCCATGAATGTATCAATCCATTCGCTAGGTCATGGTCCTCACAATGTAATCACCTCTTAAAGGCCTCACCTTTCAATTATCATAATAGGATTTTCCACCCTTTTAACACTGTCACAGTGGGGATTAAGTTCCAATCATGAAAATTTGGAGGACACATTTAACTCATAGTACCTACGAATGAAATAAGGTCTTTACAGATGTAACTAAATTAAGATGAGGTCATATTGGATTAGAGTGGGCACTAATCCAACAACCGATGTCCTTCTTTCTAAGAAGAGGAGAAACTGGGCACACAGACACATACAGAGGAAAGACAGCCATATGAAGTCACAAGGACACATAGGGAGAATGCTACATGAAGATGGAGGCAGAGATTGGAGTGATGTATCTACAAGCCACAAAAGGCCAAGGATTACTGGCAACCACCAGAAGCTAGGAGAGACAGATTGTCCCTCAAAGTCTCCAGAAGGAACCAACCCCAAATGACCTTGATTTCAGACTTCTAAGCCTCCAGAACGGTGAGAGAATAAGCGTCTACTGTTTTAAGCCACCCAGTTTGTGATACTTTGTTACATCAGCCCCAGGAAACTAATACAGTGGGCAAGCATAGAAGAGGTTAGGAGGCCAGGATCGGGGTGGTAATGGTGGGGATGGGGAGAAGCTGTCAGATTCTGGATACACTATGAAGGTTCAGCCAATAGAATTTGCTGTAAAGGATGTGGGGTGTGATAAATGTTAGCTATTATTATTATCTGCATGACTAATTTAAGTATCCACATGTAATATATGCCTATAAATGTATATTTTTTCATTGCCCCAAATATCCCAGGTTTGAGGCTACTCAAACTGGGATCATTTGCCAGGACAATCAGAAGAAGCCTATTTTGCTGTGTAATCAGAAAGCAAATCACGAGCCGACTCTGTGGCTCACTCGGGAGAGTGCGGCGCTGGGAGTGCCGAGGCCGCGGGTTCGGATCCTATATAGGGATGGCCGGTGCACTCACTGGCTGAGTGTGGTGCGGGCGACACCAAGCCAAGGGTTGCGATCCCCTTACCCGTCACAAAAAAAAAAAAAAGCGAATCACATTACTTCTCTGGGCCTCAATCTCCTACATGGTAAAATGAGAAGGTTGGGCTCCATTGTATGATTGTGTGATTCTATTATTATCAAGTGCCTTGTTGCCTTAGTATTGGTAAAGGTTCCAGACGACAGTAAACTGTTTTCTGACTTTCATGTGTGAAAACCTATGTCCAAGTCTGCAGTAGCTTTGAATAACAAAATTTACTGTCCTCACTCTTGTTGATTTTCTGCCAATTGAAACTTCTGGTATATGACGGAATGACCCACCATATTTAAAAATAGAATAACAGAAATACCAAAGTAATCCTTTGTGCCTTTTATCAGGAATGTGGGAGGGGGTGGGCAGGGGTTGTTTAGTGGGAGTCTGGGAGCTGTACCTGAAATAAAGGTTTGGAATTCTGGGTGTAAGACTTCAGACTCCATTTTCCAGAGCATACCCTGACTTATCACTATCAGTGTATTTATATTTTTGGAGGGTAATAAATTCATATAACAAGATAATAATAATATTAAACATTTATATAGGACTTACTCTGTGTCAAGCACTGTTCTAAGGGTTTTAAAATATTAACTCACTGAATCCTCATAACACTCTACGAGTTTGGTATAGTTATTATTCCCATTGTACAAATGAGGAAACTGAGGCACAGAGCAATCAAGACAGATTCCTTTATTACATTAATAAAGGATCTTACAGAAAGCAAAAATAAATGGAACTCTTTTAAAATAATTAAAACAAATGATAAATGCAAGGCAATTTGGAGAATCAAGGAAAGAAGTTTCGTCAGAATCCCACAAACTAATTCTGACAGGGTCATGAAAAACACACATTGATATTAGGCCTGTTCCTACCTCCAATCCTTGTTGACTTTGGTTCTCTAAGGAGGAAAATGGAGACTGAGAAACAGGCCTCAGGGCACCTGAATGTAACCTTGCCAGTGCCCAAACACCTGTTAGATCAGGTTCCCAAGAAGTTTTGAAGTTTTGAAATCTATCCTGGTATTGTTCCTAAGTCAATCCCTTGCTAGGTCCTGATAAATTAGACTGTCACTTTTTATTTTATTTTATTTTTTCCGTGACCGGTAAGGGGATCGCAACCCTTAGGTGTGGTGTCGCCCGCACCGGCTCAGCCAGTGAGCGCACCGGCCATTCCTATATAGGATCCGAACCCGCGGCGGGAGCATCGCTGCGCTCCCAGCGCTGCACTCTCCCGAGTGCGCCCCGGGGCCGGTCCAGACTGTCACTTTTTTTTTTTTTCTTTTTGTCTTTTTTACTGACCTGTAACGGGATCGCAACCCTCGGTGTCGCGTCCGCACCGGGGACCGGCAATGGGACCGCAACCCTCGGTGCTGCGCCCGCACCGTGCTCAGCCAGTGAGCGGGAACCGGTCTCCACATGGGATCCGAACCCTGGGCGGCTCCCACCGTGCTCCCAAGCGGCGCACTCTCCAGTGCGCCACCGGGCCGGCCCCAGACTGTCACTTTTTAAATGTACTTAAAGCTCCTTTCAGTTGAGATCCCACAACCAATATTTCCTTTCACCCTTATGCTTCCTAGAAAATACCAGCTTTCCTAAGAATCACTCATTACTATTTCAGACACCTCAGTCCCGCTCTGTTTCAGGTCCCACAGCCTTGGCCAGGTCTACTGTGGTGATGGAAGAATCAGTACTGGGCAACCAGGCTTATCGAAGTCTGAAATATCGTTTGTTTATTCAACAAAATACCATGAGAGAAATCTATAACATAATGAAAAACGTGGGCTTGTCACCTAAGTAATCCTGGAAGTTGTGAGCAACGTTTGAACAACGTGACGGGTAGAAGGAAACGACTTTATTCTGCCTGTAGTGTACAACGAGCTGCACTCAACAGGTTTAAAATTCAAATAGGTGCCTGAGTGGTTTAGAGAAATTCCTAAGTGATAAATTAAGGACACCATGGACTATCTGAGATACGAGCCCAATATCCCATAGGGGCACAGCCAGGGGACAATGCCCTCCTGACCCAAGGTCCTCAGAACCCTGGTCAGAGGCAGAAATTCCGGTTAGAACGTTGTGCTGACCTGCAAGGGCGGGTGGGGCTGGGGGGCTGGGGTGCGGCTCCCACATTGTCAGGAACCCTGAACCACATCCAAGCGACCTTCCCCCGCTAACCCTCCACCATGTCATGTTACTAACAGCAGGCCTGGGGATTAGCCCCTGTGCCACTCCCTTCTCGCCCCGCTACAATCACAGAGACCAGGTGGCTTTATGAGTCACGCAGACCCTCCGTAATAACCCCCACAGTGGGCGGGGCTGCCCTGCAGTGTCTGGCCCCTTCCCACCCCGACTCAGCTCGCTTCCCATGAGTTCCTATCTCTTGCCAAGCAGAAGCCGCGGCGGAACTGGCCCCACCGGGCATGCCCAGTCCTCGGGCCGGGCTCTGAGTGCCACACAGGCAGCACCCGACCCGCTGCGCGCTTCTTCAGTGCCCCGGTCCCTTTAAATCGGGCCGGCCGGTCGCTAGGCAACAGCGCGGCCGGCGCTAGCGCGGCACTGCAGAGGCTGAGCCCCTGGCTGGCCGGGTCGGGTCGCGGTGGCCATCGCCTAGCTAGGGGCTGCCGCCCGCTGCTGGTGGCTGGCTTCGGGGAAGAGGGGACCGTAATAACTTCGTATAGCATACATTATACGAAGTTATACGATGAGCTCTGTACTTGTATATGATTAGGCAGTTCACGCATGAGTGTGACTGGGCGGCCCGCTGCTGGTGGCTGGCTGCGGGGAAGAGGGGACAGGTCTCTCTAGACCGCACCCACGCCTTCAGGTATGTCTGCGGAAGGGAAAGCCCGGGCTCCCCCGGGCTCGCCCCTCTTCTTCCCTGCTCGGGGTACGGGGCGGGGAGGAGGGGGTGGGAGCCAGGGGAAGGGGCCCTTCTCCCCACCTCGACCCCCCACTGCGGGCTTTTTCTCTCTTTAGAGCCCCAGGCCGGAGCTGGTGAGCGTCTGGGAGGGAAGGGAACGGGGCGTGGGAGTGGGTCTGTGAAAGGAGAAGTGGGGTCAGGCCTCTCCCGCTGCCCCGCCAGCGACAGGGTCGGGACTGGGGAGGTGGAAAGTGTCACCTGCAGTGCGGGCCGCAGACCCGAGCCACCTTCTTTCCGCTCAGAGCAGCGGTGGCAGGAGTTTCAGTTAACCATTCACAGAGAAAACCCCCAAAGTATGCATACAAAGATACAGCTTTATAGCAAGAATGTGACTCCCATACTAATAAAGTCTCAGCCTTCAGAATTAAGGTGACTCCGTATCTTTCCTTCTAGAAGGAATAATTTCACACTAATAACAGAGAACTGGGGGCGTAACCGTTCACAGGGCCCAATTTTCAGGGGTACTTTTTCTTTCCTCTCAATATCTATCAAACAATAGAAAAGACAATCTGGGCCCGTAAGTTAGGACTCTGAAAGATTAAGGCAAAAATTGGGATCAGTTCCCTTTTTAATGTTTTTTTCAAATTAGCTGCACTCGGAGGGAGGGCGGCAAGGCCTGAGCTGCAGCCCTTTGCTAACGTGGCTCTTGGCATGCTCGTTAGTAAGTAACAAGCACGCTACTGCTGCCTCCACCAGGGGTGGCTCATTCGCTCAATAGGTGCTAAAGGTGGGGAGACACGGTGCTGAATAAAATGTCACCGTGAGTCTTACCCTACTTGATATTTGTATTGTTTGGGGAAGGAAGACTTACTGACATAATAGTTGGGAAAATGGGTTGACAACTTAAAAGGAGAAAATTACCTCGAAGTGTCTGGCATCACGTTTCATAAGCCAAACGACATTCTAAGTATATGCACTTGTAATTTTAATTTACATCCCAGATATAAATGTGGCTTTGGGCATTCTGGTTAGTTATATTTCCTTATTACACTGAGATGAGCAGAATTTTTTTTTTTTTCAGTTCACACTGGAGAAGGACAGCAACAACATCCAGTAGACATTGGACCTCAGAAAGTGTAAGTACAGTTGTGTTGGCTGATACCTCATTATGGGTGTCTAGAAGCACAGAGCCTTACCTAACATAGATCTTCGACGTTGTAACTACATCATCAATCTGCAGTGTCAGCACACTTTCAAGAAGGCTTCATAAAAATACAAAAGAAAAATGTCCTGAAGACTTTAGCTAAGCTAAATAAATTTCAAGGGAAAGATAAAAGTCCTTTCCCTAAAATTTCACCCCCAAAATTTCATAAGGCAGAAGAGAAATTATAAGCACTTTTTTAAAACGTCAATTAAAATAAGAGCATTATGAATTTTTAGGAAGAATATTGAGAATCATTCATTCAACAAATATTTATTGAGGGCTACTATGTGTCAGTTGACAGGGATACAAAGATTAGTAAGATGCTAGGTGATCACAGCATATTGGTATAATAAAAGTCTGTATGAAATGCTGTAGAAGCACAGGAAAAACTCAGAGTGCAGAGTCATCCTTGCTAATCTTCAAACTAATAGTCCAGTTGTGATATTTCAAAAAAGTTATTGGTGGCTCTGAAAAACAGTGGGGCATTTGGGAAGTTCTTGGGAAAGTAATTGATAAAAATGCAAATGTCGGGCCGGCCCGGTGGCGCACTGGAGAGTGTGCCGCTTGGGAGCGTGGCGGTGCTCCCGCCGAGGGTTCGGATCCCATGTAGAGACCGGTTCCCACTCACTGGCTGAGCGCGGGGCGGGCCCAACACCGAGGGTTGCGATCCCGTTGCCGGTCCCCGGTACGGTCCCCGGTACGGGCGCGACACCGAGGGTTGCGATCCCGTTACCGGTCAGTAAAAAAGACAAAAAAAGGAAAAAAAAAAAAAAAAGCAAATGTCTTAGGTTGTAGAAAAATCTACAACTTTGCTTAGAGTCAATTTAACTTCAGAAATTTGGGAACATCAACAACTAACTTACAGGAGTTAGGATGTATTTTTCCCTGGGGACGCAGATTAAATTAGGTTTCCCTCTGCTTACTTTAATAGCACCTACATTTTTCCCCCCAAACTGACTTTTTCTGAGGTCTGATGACTTCAGGCTGGCAAATTTGGAGCACATATCTTTGTAGGAGAGTTAGGTTGTTTAAGTGGCTGGTTTATGTTTGAAGGGAGGGTAAGGAAAATCTAAAAATGAACAAAATACGTTGTTTACAGTATACTTTAAAAATTGCTTCCATTTCCATTTTCATTCATTTTTCCTAACCACCTGTGAAATCAGTATATTGGTTCCTATTTTACACCTGAAGAATCTGAGGCTTCCAGAAGTTAAGTCTTCACATAGTTCTGAAGTGTGGGAGCCAAGATACCTGATTTCTTGAATCTTTTTTCCACCATAGTCCATACTCAATTCTTTTCTCAAGAACTTCCTTTTCCTTCATCCCCATAATTTTGCACAATAAAATATTTTGATTCACCTTGACTTCAAAGAGTTCATTTGGGTTCTCATTTTGGTTTGTTTTTAAACAACTTTATTTCTATGCCCACTTTATTTTTTTTATTTAGTTAATTAATTTATTTTCTTTTTAAAATGTATTTTGTAATTGAAACATGATTGATTATACATATTTATGGGGTACAGAGTTGACTATCAGTATTTGTGTACAATATGTGATGATCAAATCAGTATTGTTAATATGTTCGTCAGCACAAATCATAATTATTCTTTGTGTCCATTACCCAAGGAGGAGGGGGTGCTGGGTCCTCATTTTGGTATTTTCTGCAAGTCAGTGAAAGAGGGTGGAGAATGGGAAAGCTTCCCTAGAGGGGGCAGGTCAGAATCTTCTTAAGGAAAGAGAGTGATGATGGCAGTGTTTTGTGCCTGGAAACAGTGAAAGCAGGAAAAAAAAGGGTGAGAACCACTGCTTTTAAGTGAGAACAAATTGGACAATTGGACAAAGACGCAAAGCAAAATGACTTCCTTTGTAGCAGACTTTTTTTCTATTTTAGCTGAATAGTTTTTCTAAGGATTGAGAGAACTGAAACCAACCACTAATAAAGGGGAAAATGTTCCTTGGGTTTAGAGAGGCCCTTTGTCTTCACTTTACTGCCTCTGGGCAGCGACTATAGCCACACCTCTATATTGTAGAGCAATTCTTTTAAAAAAAAAAAATTATTATTGAAACAATTGATTGTACATATCTGTGGGATACTGCATTGAATATCAATACCTGTGTGTAATATGTGATGCTCAAATCAGCATAATTAGTATGTTCAACATTACACAATATAATCATTTTTTGTGGCCTTTTACTCACTAACCTCCCTCCCCCTCCCCCTTCCCACCTCTGGTGGCCTCAGTTCTATTCTCTCCTTTTGAAATTTCAACGTATTATTGTGATCATTGTATCTTTCTTGCTTGCTTATTTATTTATTAGTTTATTTTTAAAAACTAGTTAATTAACTAGTGTTTATTAAAAATAAAACTAGTTGAGGGCAGCCAAGGGGCTGATGGTAGTGACAGAAGGTTGCTCAGCACTGGTTAGAGATGACCTTTTTCAGCCATCATTCCTGGTTTACAACGTGTGAGAGGAAGGACTCTTGGGAGGTGTCACAAGACACTTTGGTGTTCTTCCAAAACTTTCCTAGTCCCTGTCTATCCCTGCCTGGAAGAAGAATTGTATTTTGCAGACAGATCTAGATTTATGCAGAGATGGTCCTGAAAATTTGAAACCAAATTCTAAGGTAAATGGGATAAGGTGACAGAAAAAAACATTTTTTATTTATGTTATCAAATTTCCCTAAAGCATGCAATTTTAAATATGAATATTTTAGAAAATATGTAATTAAATTTTATATCCACCTTAATATGAGTATACTCCCCAGAGCCGCTCCTTGAAAATAAAAGTGAGATGGTTTTGTGGATTTCTCTTTGTGTAATAAACAGTAATACATTATTTTCTGGAGCTACTTGAGGATAGAAGTGTATTCACCTAAGATATTTATGAAATGGTGTACCTAAAGATCCATAATATATGATCAGTCTTTGCTTAGCTTTCAACATTTATAGTATGCTACATCACATTTCATTATAAATTCACTTTCAGTTTATTTTATCCGTGATTCCCAAATTCTTTAGCTGAGTATAAACCACTTCCATGACAAAAAGAGATTCTTTACTCTACAAAAATGTCCTACTACTTTGCCACTGCAAAAAAAAAAAAGTTACCAGAATGGTGATGTTTTCAGTGAGACACTAACTAGAACCATCAGGAGTCCATTATTAATTCATGTCAGACACAAATGAATAGATGTAGTCATATCATGACACCCATGCCTTAACAGTACAGTCCCAAGGACTACTGGCAGATCACTGTCTTAGAGGACCATTAATGTTATTTTGTCATATGACTTATATTGTTTTCTTGTCTGTGCTCTGACTTATTTGTTTCTTTAATTTTTTCATTTCTCTTGGGCCTCCTTCCCCTACTCTTCAGTTTTTCAGTTTCCAATGTAGTGCTGGGTAGGCGCTTATAATAACAAATGTTCACAGCTGACCTGCTAAAAAGACATGCTTACACTTTCAATAATGGCTTCTGGCTTGGCTCGCTGTATGCTGCAGCAAATTACATAGCCAAGTTTATTGAGAGCAAAATGGCTGCCAGGCCAGGGTAGAGTAGTGTCATTGTTTCAGAGCATATTTCTTGTCCTTGCCAGAGCATACTAATACCGTACTTGTTCTGCATAAAAACAAACATTGCAATTTGCAAAGAGAAAATGAGATTGGCAGCTTTTACCTCCAGTCTGGGCTTTGCCATACTCTGTGACTAGATTTGGGAAGAAGCCCTTAAAGGATATCTTGCCAATGAAAGGGGAAAAAAAAAAAAAAAAAAAGGAAAAGGAGCGGCTCAGAGACCCCTTGACCCTGCCCTGTGTAAGCCGTGGGAGGGAAATTCCAAAAGGCTTTTCAAACCTTTCTCTTTCTGTCCTTTGATATGTGACATGCAATTCTCCTTACCCTCCCCCCTCCATTTTCCCTCTCTCCTTTTGTGGCCCTTTAAAAGATACCTAAGCTCTGAAAAGAATGGCTTCTTTTCTTTCAATTTGTGGAATGAAACCTAGCAGATGAATAAAGAGGAATTTTACAACTAGCACTGACCTGGGAAGCAGTGTCTCAGTTTTACCACTACAGGCTGTGTGGCCTTGGCCCAGTCACTTCACTGCTCTGAGCTCCAGTTATAAAATAAGTGGATTCTTTCCAGTTCCGTGAAAAGCATTGGCTGTATAGTATTCACTGAAAGGCATTTCCTTTTGGACACCCAGGAAATTATACAGAGGGAAGAAAGGTAGTGAACATTATAAAACGTGCATGTGTGTTTGTGTATGTTGCCAGAGGTTTATGGGAAGGTTGGACATAGAAGTCACTTAATAAAGGAGTAAAATTATTAATGAAAAGGATCTTCTATTTTAACTATTATCTATACTCAGACCTCTACCTCAGGTGTGTCATTGCTATCTCCAGGTATAAAATAGCCTCACCTTACTTGCCCCTGGGCTCACCTTCCTGATCCCACCAATGCCTTTTACCCAGAATAAGGTAAGAGGAATAGTAATCTCTCTGCCATTGCTACCTGATTAGAACATTTTTATCTTTTGCAGAATTGTCTGGTAAAAATTTAACTGCTGAAAAATGTGACTGGCAATTAGCATTGCCCTCTTTTCTCCTCTCTGTTCCTTTCCTTGTGATCGCTGTAATAATTCCTACTCATTTGCATTCATATTTCCAGAAAGGAGGGAAACTGCGATCGTGATAATCTTCCCCTTTAAGAACAGATAGATCAAAAATGCTTCTGGATGGTGACTGGTAGAATAATAAAAGTCAGAAAGGACTATTTCAAGAGAAAGGAAGTGATACTCCAATGACAAATACATACCATGAATTTCAAGTCTCAGTTTATCATTATGGTCTGGTTGACTAAACTTTAATAAAGCTTGGCTTATGGCTTTTGAACCAATCATTTTAACACCTTCACTGAGCCCCCATCTCCAAAGAGTTCATTTTAGGAATATTTGTACCTTTTCCTTTCCTCAAAGCCAAGTAGTTGCCAGTAGGGATGTACCCTTGGGGATAGTGAGTCCCTTACCTCTTTGGGGGGGGAGGGGGGCGGAAAGAGGTATGTTCATTACCTGTAAGTATCAAGTTTGTTCCTTCATTGCCGGTAGCAAGGAAAATCTGTGTTATTTAAACTATGGTTGCTAAAAAGAAAAGACTGGAGTGGTAATACACCAAAGAGTAGTTATCTGAGGGCCATGGGATTATGAAGAAGATTCGTTTTGGTTTTTTGTTTTGTTTTGTTTGTGCTTTTTTGTATTCTCCAAAATTGCTGCAAAGAATCAAAGAAAATATTAATTAAAAAATAAACACAATATTTGCCATTTCTCCTTACCAGGAGGAAATTACATTTGTGTGCATAAGTTAAATAGATGCAGGTACACTTTGATTTTTCTCAGTAATGATGCTACAAATATATTATAGTAATTAATGTATAAAATGGTTAAAGTGACCACTTCCTTCTTCTCCCCCCTCCTCCCCCGTTAAAGGTAACTGCAATTACCAGTTTGGTGACTTCAGATGCCAGTGACTTTTCAACATGTTGCTTAGGTCCTTCTTTCTCCCTTCCCTCAGAAGTCGTTCCTAATCAAATATTTCAGTGCTTTAGGAAAACTGTACGTTAAGGATTCCCTTTGAACAGGGGAGATTCTTTTTGAAACAAAATAATCATCCTCTAATATTTATAAATTTGGAAAGTTGGTTGTGATTTAGTATGCTAAATTTTTACCTAAACACTACACTCAGAGTCTACATTCTTAAGAAAAACACATTTGGTGGCATTAATATTTTCAATTGTTGACATTAGGTTCTCATTGTGAAATTGCTGTCAAAACGGATTGATTTCTATACACTTGGCAGTCTTGCCTAAAAGCAAAGCCGAAGACTGGAATAGCAGGAATTTATAGGTCAAGACAGAAGGGCATTTGGCAGAGTTAGTCATAAGGAAGTCTGCATGGTATACTTTACCAAAAGCAGCTCACATTGCATTAAGCCCTGATGTTTTAGTCACTTTAAAGAATGGATAAACAGTAGTTCAATCCAAAAGAACTAGAAAAAAAATCAAACACACTGAAAGCACAGGTATTAACAATATTAACCTATTAATTTCAAATCACTTATTTTAAAGCAGTCTTTTTTCACATGTACAGTTGCTTTCTCATAGAATTACTTTCTCTGTCTAAAATAAATAGCTAGATGTGTCAATTTACTGATTATATTTCATAGGATCAAAGAATTTTAAAGGTGGAAGCACCTGTAGATAGAACTTAGCTAGTTGAACTAGTTTAGCCCTTTCAATTTAAAAATGAGGGAACTGAATCTCAAGTCACTCAGTGAATTAGAGGAAGAGCCAGCCCTCAAATGTTTAGGTTCCAGCATTTTTAATTCTTTCTACTATGCTAGATGCTAGCCTAAATAATGTGCCTTGATTTAAAATTTTGTTTTTCAGGAATTGGAAGAGGTGGCTGACGAAATGGACGCTAGAAGAAAACGCTGGAAGGAGAATATGTTTACTTCCTTTTTCAGTGCACAGGATGTTCTAGAAGAGGCTTCTGAGCCTGAGTCGGCTTTTGAAGAAATCACTGTAGATAAGATCAAGAGAATGGAAGGAATTTTTAACTTGTCCAGTAGAAAGTGTCAAGGAAAAAAGAAATTTAAGAGGAAAGAATGTATTTCCCAACTAAATAAAAAAGAACAAGAACCAAATCTGAGAGAGACAAAGATAAACATTTCGAAGAATGAAGCAGACACAAATTCTGCCTCTTGTGAATCATCTAACTTGGATGTTGCAACCGAAGAAAGCTTTAACGGCACAAAAGATCACTCTACCTGGAGCACAAAGGAATTACCTACTCTACCAAGACCAAACACAAGGAAGAAATTTACTGGAGGAATGTCTACAAAACTTCGCCTGAACCTTTTGAATGAAGAACTGGAAGAACTTAATATGAAATGCAGAAAGATAGAAGAGGAATTTGAAAATGCCGAAAAAGAACTTTTGAACTCTAAAAAAGAAGCCCTCACAAAACCCCTAAATTTTCAAGAAACAGGCATGGATACTTCGAAGAAGGACTGGGAACTTCAAGCTTTAAGAAATGACCTATCTGAAAAAGCAACAAATGTAAAAACATTGACTGAAGAGCTGCAGCAAGCCAAGGAAGTCATCCACAAGTTGAACCTAGAGAATCAAGATTTAAAAGAAGCTGTTAGGAAGTTAAAGCTTCAAATTGAACTTGGAAATGCACTCCTAAAAGAAGAAATGAAATTGTATTATGAATTAGAAATGGAAAAGATCCATGGAGAACTCAATGCCATCAAGAATGAACTGAGAGCTGAGAAGTCCCTGCAGGCAAGAAATAACAGAGCCCTGGAGTTGCTTAGAAAACACTTTGCATCAGTGGTAACGCCATCAAGCACCCTTGATCCCTTTGGTGGGGATTTTTTTTAAAACTTAAAAAAAAAAAAAAAAAGGCCTTTCATTAGGCAAGTCATTGAGCCAAATCAGTGTTTATTGTACTTTCTTTGTGTGCTACTTAAAATGTGTGTAATAGGATGTAATTTTCATTTCTGGTGAATCAGAATATCGGTAAAACATGTAGATGTTAACTCAAAGCTTTTGCTTTCTCTTTCTAATGAAGTTATTGCAAGAATCCAAATGGAAATGAAGCTGTGGAAATCTCTTTTACATATATGTATTTCAGAAGAACATAGTGATTCACCAAGTCATTTATGAGCACAAATCAACAGCCATTTTGCAATCTTGTGAGCAATATGTCTTGGCACATGAATATTCTTCCATCTGTGTTCACTGATGTTAACAATAAAAATCTTGTTTATGTGTATAAGCATAACATATGTCTGTGGATCTTGCAGCTGCCTGTTCAAACTCAATGGGATACCAAAAACGTGTCTGCTTTCTTTGGGGTCTAACCTTAATTAGGCACATATAAACATCTCAGAAAAAAATGCAGTTTTTTTCTTCCCCTGCTGTTTTCCCCATGCTGTCTCCTTTGACCTGGCCACGGTTCCCATAGACTGGAAGACGACTTAAGAGACATTGCTATGACCTTTGCTAGAGCCCTGCTTTTGTCAGCAGTGGCTCTTGTGTTTTCTTATGTTGGCCAGCAAGGGGCGTTGTTTACACAGTTCTTCCAAAATTTGACCAGGGGAAAATTTCTAAGCTTCCTGTCCAGCTTACATCATGAGCTGGCCAGGACCGTGGTGAAAGGTGTTGCATGTCATCTAGGTAAGCCTTTAGTAAACTGGCTTGCTTTATACACTTATAAAGAATAAAAATGTACTGCCTCAGTCCTTTGGTGGAAGTGATGAGCCAATTGATTCTTTGCATTTGTTTGTATCAATCATTAAGATTTCTTGTAATTGGAGCTCTATTTGCATGGTATTTTTTAAGCCCAATGAACCAAATGTAATCATAGACTATGAAGGTGGGACACAATTGTAAGGGTTTAGGTATTTTCCCTGATGGGAAAATTCTCACACTAGAGTCAGGACACTTGGGTTCTAGTACCTGCTCTGCCATTAACTAGTTAATTAACCTTCTAGGTCTAAAAGTCCTCATCTGTAATATGAGGGAGCAGATCTACCAGCAAGATTTCTGTTTAGTTCTCATGTTCTGTAATTCCACCTTAACAGTTTTATTTGCAACTATACCTGTGAGAAGTAAAACTCCTATGGCATTGGACATTGGATGCATTCAGTTCTAATACGTTAGGGGACCTACTTTGCACAACCCCCTTTCAAAGGAAATATAAACAGGCTCTGTTTTACAGGTTGAACATCTCCAAATACTGTTGATAATAAATCAGTAGAGGGAGTAAGTGAGGTTATTTCTCCTTTCTCTTGTTTCCTCTTTACACATTAAGGATGCAGAAGGCACTGAATGAAGACAAACTAAGCTGACGGAGGCTGAGCAGGGCTCGCCTGGCTTGGGAAGACTGGACTTAGTTGGAAGATGATAATCTTAGGAGCTTTCTGACTTAGTCCTGATAAACTTAACTCAGACACTGCCTCAAAGGGGAGATGACTTTCAGGTTTGTTGTGGTCACTGGCTTCCCATCAAGAGTCTAGGCACAAAAGCAAACTAGGAACGTTTTGCCCTATTTGACTCTTCCTCATCACCCCTTGAAAATTATTCCTTCATCTTAGCCCCATAAAGATTCTTATTCCCTTAATGCTAGTGTGCAGAGCTGCTTACATGTTTAAATTATTTCACATTATATTAAGCCACAAGGCTCAATCCTCTCAGTATAATTCTTTTTTTTTTTTTTTTTGTCTTTTTTCCGTGTCCGGCAACGGATCGCAACCCTCAGTGTTGCCCCCGTACCGGACCGGGGACCGGCAACGGGATTGCAAACCTCGGTGTTGCCAGCAACGGGATTGCAAACCTCGGTGTTGCTCCCGCGCCTCGCCCAGCCAGCGAGCAGGAACCGGTCTGTATGTGGGATCCGAACCCTCGGGCGGGAGCGCCGCCGCACTTCCCAAGCGGCGCACTATCCAGTGCGCCACCGGGCCGGCCCCTATAATTCTATTTTTAAAGAGCAACTTTTACTCCAGGAGAATTTCTGTCAATCAACCATACATTTAAGGTTTTCAGTGACAATTTGGTTTATCTTGTATGAGTGTGAATGTGCATTTGGGGGCCAGGGAAGGAGTGTGGTAGAGGAAGGTCCAGAGAAAATAAGTGAATGGCTTAGGCCAGCTCTAGGTTGTGTGTGTGTGTGTGTGTGTGTGTGTGTTTGGGAGGGGGGTGGTATTGTATTTCTAGGGTGGAACTGGAATAATAAAGATTCTTAACTAGACAGCGTGGGTTGCTAAGGCCCAGCAAGGTCTGCCCTGTACAAAGTCCCTATGGAAATCCTAGGTCCAGACACTAACCAGAGAGATGATATATAATTACCAACTCCAGAGATCCAAGGAGGAAGGCAAACCAAAGTCACAGAGCCAACAGTTTGGAGCTGGGAAGGGATCACATCAAAATAAAAGCAAGGCTGGAATAAGCTGGGAGAAAGCTGGGCACTTACCGTTCCTCTTCATGGGCGTATGGGAACAACAGTGGGTTGGACTGGTTTAAAGCTCTTAAAGTTCTTAAATGGCTGTGTCCCATTGTCTCAGGAATCACTCTTACTTGTTACATTAGGTGCCCCCAATTTTTATCAGAATATATTGTTACTGTACTTTCTGGTATATTGAATGGGAGATCTGGAGGTGTTTTTCTAGTAAGGATGGCACATCAGGCCACTGATCCCTTTAAATAATCTGTTGGTAAAATGTTTGAAATCAGCAATGCAACCACACACCATTTACCACCAACTCCCACCTCCTTACTTACTAAGAAGCCTGGGCTGTCACAGTGCTCTAGGAACATCTGCTCCACCTTGGGTTCATAATTCAGTGCTATAAACATTTTCTGAGCACTTATTACCATAGTTCATTACGTCTAAAACCCCCTTTTAAAAACATTTGGGCATTCCTGAATTTGGGGCACATCTTTACATTGATGGTATGTCATGGTATAACTGTCAGTATTTATTTTTCCTTAATAGTTCATGAAATAATGGTGCATCTTACGATCAATAAAGTTTTAGATTTGATGAAATATGGTACGTGCTAGGCTGGGGATATGGGGATAAAAGGATTTATGAATAAGACAGATCTCTGACCTTAAGGACCCTACTTAAGCAACTAACTAAACAATGCGGTAAGAGCTATACTAGCAATGCTAATGTAAAGTGCTGTGGGAGCATAGAGGGGGATCAATTAATGCTGCCTGTAGGGCTGGGAATGACCTCATAAAGGAGGTGACATCTGAGCTTGAAGGATAAGAAGGATTTTTCCAGGCAAAGCATGGGGTCAGGGGGCAGGGACATTTCTGGAATGCGAATGTGGAAGGTCTATTTGGCTTCAAAGAAGACTCTTAAAAGCAGTGAGAGTACTGAGATGTTATAAAGTCCCATTTGAAGGTCTACTCTGAAAACCACTGTGAATTCCAACTTTTCTGCTCATTTGCAGATAGTCCAGAGAATAAAGTTCTCATGATACAGAGACCAGGTTCCATATAAAAAAACTGTAGAAAACAATTCTTCTGGTGCCACTGTACCTTTGGTTTCCATCATTTTTGTTTTGGAAACAAAAGACCTAAGAAATTTTGGCCATAATATCCAGCCAAGTCTGCTGTGAGCAGTCTGGTTTCAAAGAGATGTATGAAAGAGAAACACCACAGTCATTCCTCTCTCCAAAGAAGCACGTAGCACAGAGATTCAAGTGTACAAACTTTGGTTATTCACTTAATAGCTGTGTGATCTTGGGCAAGTTGCATAATTCTCTGTAGCTCAGTTTCCTCATCTTGTAAGATGGGGTTAATAAGTACTGTTGTTGGGAGGATAAAATGAGATCACATACAGTCAATAAATGTCACCTTTGTTGTTATTATTATTATTACCTGACTGACAAGGGGAAATTGACCAGGTCCATCTGTCTCTCCCCACCTATTACTCTCACCAAGCTCTTTCTACTTATCATCCTTCAAATTATGTTCTCTGGGGAGAATATGATGAATTCATTCATAATATGTGTATCAATGATACGTATATGTTTGTGAAGGTGAAACGGGTTGCAGGGAGAGTATTTTGGTTTTATTAGTATATGAAGTCTTAAGCCGAAGTAATGAATCTGTTGTGATGGCCTTTCTGACCTCAGGAAGGATCCTGTAAAGGGAATTTCTTGCGTCAGAGCCTACCCAGACCCCCTCCAATCAGGTCTGTGTAAGGTTGGCTCCTGGCCCTGGCAGGCGGATAACTAGAAGGGGGAAGAAAGCCCTGTCCAGTGCTCCAGTGGGAAAAAACTAACGTAGGAAAAGAGAGCGGAGACAAGAGAGGCTATTATAGTATTTTACATTTTCCCTTGGCACAGGGAGCCATGCAGCTGGGGGCTCACTACTACAGCTGCTCAAATAAGAATAAGTCATTGTCTTATTCTTTGTACTCATAAGACACTGAGGTTGTAGTGACCCATGTGTTGTAGGTGTGCCCTCCTTTCCACACCAAGTCTCCCCTGTTTAGCGGTCAGAGCTACTCTTCACAGGTTCTCTCTCTCTTTCTGATTGACACCTTTGCTTACACTCAGCCTTTTGATGATGGCTATGTTTCACTGGGTTCAGGTTATCATTTCCTGGGAGACTGGGCTTATACCTGATTCTCTCAGGATGTGTTCTGGGGTGTTCTTGAAGCATTTGTCTTTCAGCCCATGCCTGTTGACTCCACGACAGGTGTCATCATGACTGGAGACATACCTCAGAGATTCTCCTTATGCCACTAGTACCCTAGCCTGCATCTGGACTACTGGTTACAGCCTCGTTACAAAACTTTATTATGTGTCACACACTTCCATGTACATTGTCCTGTGTAAAAAAAATCTTTGACTGTCACTCATTTTACATATAAGGAAACTGAGGCTCAGAGATGTTCAATGACTTAGTTAATATCACACAGCTAATGAGTAGTGGAGCTGGGATTCAAACCCAGCCTGTCCAACTCCATTACAATGCTTGTTCCATTATATCGGGCCACCTTTTGTGCTAGAATTAATGAGCCAAATGTTCAATCACCATAGACGTTATTTAACTTTCTCAAAGACAAACTGGCTTGATACTGCAACCTGGACTCAAGTTAGCCATGTCATAAATGGCTGAGCTGAGCAGTGAAGTTGCATCTTATTGGAAAGACCATAAAGTGTACATATATTCTGATGGGGGGTTAATATGTCTACATGAAGCAGTTTTTCCTATGGTGATGAAATGAACTGTAACAGTAATATAATCAAAGCAATCGAAATA